GAAACTCTACTATGGAGGTAGGGGCTAATCTGAAATAACAGGTTACCAAAAAGTCAGGTATATGTGACTGTAGTGCTTGTACTTAAAATTCAAATATCTTACTTGAGATCTGTAAATTCAGTTAAATCTAGAAATGAAGCTTTATGGTAAATCATTCCAGAGACGAGAAGAGACCATCTAATTTCCCCCATCCTACCCCTGCACAATTCATTCGTGCTGGGAACAGCCCCTTCTCGTTAGCGTGCCAGATACTGAAGGGGTTCAGACTCAAAAGGCTTCCCTGGGAGCAAATAGATTGCTTGAGATAGAATTTACATAATTACGGTATTATTATAAAGTATTATAATGATTCCTATAGAGTCAATTCTGTAGAACTTGAAACCAAAAATTTCCTACACTTACCAGGTGCTATATTTGTAAGAGAAAATATATAGAAGCATTCCCTGCATGTATATATTATACATAGCAGAAATCTCAAAAATTCAACTATGCGTATCTGGTAGTTAACAAAAACGTAACTTCCCAAAGCAATTTATGATAGCTTTTATACTTCAATAATATTACTTCAAACACGCTGTGCTTGTCAATTCATCCATTAGGATCTTAACATTTTAATCATGTAAATGATGGGTTGGCAAACCTTTTCTGTAAAAACCCAGCTGGTAAATATTTTAGACTTTGCAGGCCACACAGTCTCTGTGGCTACTATTGCATTCAGCTGTTGTAGCACAAAAGCATTCATAGACAATAAGTAAATAATGGCTGTGGCAGTGTTCTAACAGAAAAACAGACTAGATTTGGTTCAGGGGCCTTAGTTTCCTGAACTCTGGTATAAATGAACTGTCCATATGTATAATGTTTGTATTAGGAGCAGGTGCCAGGGCATTTAATACCTTGATAATATTTTCCCTGTAAGACCCTTCTCCAAAGCAGGCTTGCTTTCCCCCCAACCCCATCTCCGTAAGATTCCTTTACAGAATCTTTAATCTTCATTTTGCTCAAGATCCAGTTCAAAGTTTTTCTGTGTTTGTTGTTGGTTTACTGTATAGTTTCTGATCTAGGCTCAGTCTGTTTTCTTTCTCCAGTGAAGCTCTCCCCACATTGGGCATCTCTTCACTTCTGTGGCAGTAACAGGTTAATCTCATGTCAGGAACCTACCTCCCTTTGTACAAGTGGTAGCTTTTTGAGTCAGAATCCACTGGAAAGAAGGCAGAGGAATTTGGCTCAGCAAACCTCTGGAGATTCTAACTGAAATTAAAGTCCACTGTTACCTCCAGGCTCTCCTCAGTTCCACATCTCTCCAATTGGCTACAATTTAGGAAAAAGGGGAGGATGGGCAAGGGTCTTCTAGGTGTCTGGGGCTTGGCTTGCAGCAATTTGAGAGACATACACCCCCACTAAGAATTTCAGAATTGCACGTTGAAGGTTCAGCTCACTCAAAATTTGTCCCTACTGGCACCTGCTTTTCCTTTAGGAGACAAGGAAATGGCAGAAACTTTCTAAAGCAATGGTTAGGATGGCAAGGAATCCTAGAAAAGCTGCAAGATAAATGTCTGGCCCCAGCAAAAACAGGTGGTATTTGCAAATTATTTTGCCCAGTCAGGTTCACTTCAATTACATGTTAGTCTAATTTATGATTAACTTTGGACCTCTGGAGAACCAAGACTAACCTCCTCGATGGAAGGAATCAAACTTCCTTCCACAGTAAGCTTTTTATCCCCACAGCCTTGATTTTTCAATTTGATTCTATTTTATTTTATTCTATTTGTCTAATTTGCAATGCCGTAGCATCAAAACCAGACTACACGGGGGAGCCTGGGTGGCTCAGTCATTAAGCCTCTGCCTTCGGCTCAGGTCATGGTCCCAGGGTCCTGGGATCGAGCCCCGCATCCAGCTCCCTGCTCCGTGGGAAGCCTGCTTCTCCTTCTCCCGCTCCCTCTCTCGCTGTGTCTCTGTGAAATGAATAAATAAAATCCTAAAAGAAAAAAAAAACTGTACAGACAACGCTCGCCGAAATCTAAACTGCTGGCTAACTGATCCATTTCCGATTGATGATGAAAGAATTATGCTATCATGATCTGCAGCCATCACAGAATTATAATCCACTGTCATTTGAAAGTTTCCCAAACTAGAATTCTTTGCTCTTGATTGTGTCTATTTGGAAAAGCTCATTTGCCTTATTCATAGCCTTCTTTTCTCTAATACTTTCGATAAATGAAGTTTTCCCAGTCCTCTCATGCTGACTCCCGCATGCACAACCCTTGGCAGCCAGATCAAACCTCCTCTGCTATTCTCTGAGTCCTGATCCCCACAGCACAGCCTCTGCAGACCCTACTTCCTCTGCTTCACATCTCCCCTCCATTTCAAAAGAGGCTGCCACAGATAAATGTTCCAATCCCTCTCTCCAGTTTTATTTATTTATTTTTAAAGATTTTATTTATTTATTTGGCAGAGAGATACACAGCAAGAGAGGGAACACAAGCAGGTGGAGTGGGAAAGGGAGAAGCAGGCTTCCCGCCAAGCAGGGAGCCCGATGCGGGGCTCGATCCCAGGACCCCGGGATTACGACCTGAGCCGAAGGCAGACGCTTAACCACTGAGCCACCCAGGCGCCCCTCTCCAGTTTTAGAAAAAAGGGCCCTGGGCCTGTCAGGGGCCACCCCTCTTCCCGTCCCTACTCACTAGGATTTTTCTCCATTTCTCGTACCTTCATTTCCTTCTGCCTTCAAACATGCTCCAAATGTCCCCTGTCCTGGAGAGTGAAAAACCAAAAAGTAAAAAATGTACCACCTTTGCCTGCCTCTGCCGTTTCTCTCCTTCCAGAGGTGAAGCAACCAGACTTCTCTCTTGGGGTCTGGCCTCCCCTTCCACGATAACCGTTCCTGCCTCCATGAAGTCTGGACTCGGTCCTCTCTGTCCCTCCAAATCAGTGATCCAGTCACTGTCAAATCCACTGGGCTTGCTCTTGCTTTTATTGTGAGTTGCTTGACTTTTGGGTATAGATTTAATGAAACAGTGTTGTGTGTTCTTAAGGGTCTGAGACACCACAGCCCTAAGTGAATTATAGCCACACCTCACCAGTGCCTTCCTGAAAGGCTCTGCCAGCCTCCGTAATGTTACCCTCTCACTGTTGTTTTCATGACCCATATTCTTTTTCTTCCTTCCATCTACTAATTACGGGTATTTCTGGAATTTGGTCTTTGGACTCCCCTCTATATGTCATTCCTGACTATCTCATCCATTCTCCCTGCCTCGCTTCTCGCCTGTGATGGCCCCCAGTTACCTCTAGCCCCAAGCTGCAGCTCTTGAAACTGCCGGATTCATGTTTCCTGTTTCCACATATTCAAAATATCTAAACCTTTTATCACATCACAACTCCCCAAGCCATTTCCCTCTTTCTCAAGATGGCTTTATTTTAGTAAGTGACAATTACCCGCAGTAAATATGGGACATCCTTATTTCTCCCCTACCCTGAAGAGTCATCCAATCAGAGATCAACTTCCATCAGCCTTTTTTGTCCATTATCACGATCACAGGTGATTGACTCATTCTACCCCATTTATCATCCCAGGTCTGTTCTTACAGTGCCTTCAGTGTATGTGATTGCATTAGCTCTGATACAGCCTTCCTCTCTAACACCTCCCTCCTCTACCCTAACCCACCCACAATGACCAGACTAATTCTACAGCAGTGCCTTCACCGTGATACTGCAGTCGAAACCTTACGCCTACAAGATGGTCTGAAATCCTGAGCCTGAAAGTTGAGGTCCTCTGTCATCTGGCATATACCATCCCTCTACATAAATCTCTTCTCTCCAGCTCCCTCCCTGAACCACCTAAAGCACACCACAAGTGGGCCTGCCTCGTGCCTGCTCATCCTGCAGACGTGACTTATATGCTTCCTGCTGGGGCAAACACCAGAGACTGGCTGGACCAACGCTTGGAATTAGAAACAGGTGAGGCAAGGATGTAGCCATAGGTTCCTTTGGATGGATTTGAAAGTGTGAACTTTTATATCTCAGTGAAAATCTTCTCATCAGGCATCTCACACCAGCAAGGTATGAGACTCCAGGAGGGATATAAAGATCTGTCTAATCTATGACCTTCAGGACCATAATCAAACCAGTTATATAAGATGTGTATAAATAAATAAGTCATGGAAAATGTTATGAGACTTCTTGTTGATCAGTGGGTATGGAGTTTCAGTTTTGCAAGATGAAAACATTTTGGAGATGGGTTGCACAATACTGGGGATGTACTTAACACGACTGAGCTGTACACTTAAAAGTAGTTAAGATGGTAAATTTTGTTATGAGTATTTTATCACAATTAAGATCATTTTCTTAGTTGTTCCAGACAGTCAGGGGAGGCGGGCGCTGAGTTAAGCCCAGAAATATAGGTGAGACGGTGACAATATAGCTAACCCTCTATCCTGAGCCCTTTACGCACATTAAGTCTGTTCATTCTCTCTAACCCCTACTAGGGAGATGCTATTATTCTCCCCAGTCTGACCCTGGAATACAGGGAAAAGGTGGAATTCTTAAGTTTATCTTACTCTTAAAAAAAAAAAGTCAGATGCGAAAATATTCAAGAATGTCCACAGAATGTCCAAGAAAAGAGAATGGGTAAATATAGGTTTCTGTAATCAAATTTATTCATGTACAGAGATGTTGTTTACAGCTTTAAAGACTGCCTGGAACACTTCAACAGTGTTATGGACCTCTTGCAAATGTTTGTTAGTATGTAATTATGATACTCATCTTCTGAATTTACGAAAATCAGAAGTGTCCCCCAGAAAGTTTTGCAATGGGACAATGGAACTAAAAATATCATAGCTACAGCTACCATCTACTGAATGCTTGGTTTCATTTGACAAAAAAAAAAATAACTATCTTTAAATATTTTTTTGTACTAAAAGGCTAATGAAGTGGGGTAACCTCCGCATGTCTGAGCCTGGCAACATGTTCACAGGCATCCCTCCTTCCCTCTTTTCAACACGAACCAGTCTTGGCCCCATGACTACCGTCCCAGTCCAATCAGTTGCAAAATAAAAAGGAAGAGGTTGATGATATCCAAGTAGATGTTCAGGGCAGCAAAAATGTACTCTTCAGGGTGCAGATCAGAGTGATGGTGGCGCCCTCCCACCATGAGCTGTACATCCATCACCAAGTACTTAAAGAAAAGAAAGAAGAATTAGCTACCTAAATTGTACATTTCTATCAAGTAGGTATCCTAAATTACCTGGAAAAAATATTTTAGCATCCGTAAATATATTGCAGAAACTCAATTTGTGGCTGTATATATGTTCTTTTTACAGCCTCGACCATTCACTCTGTCCCCAAGTGCATCTTCTATCTATTACAGCAAGTGCTCCATCCTCCTGATGACTGGCACCAAGTCCATAAGCCTCCTTTTGCTTTCCAAATGCGGAAACCTTTGGGCCTTTAGCCAATGAAGTGGACCAGGTGGAACGATTGGACACAGAGATAAACTACAAAATTCCCTGTATTTGTGATTTCCCCACACGTTCTTGCTGAACAAAGAACGAAAATAAAGATGGTCCCTGACAATTAGATTCACACACAGCAATAATTCTGAATTCCTGGAGCTTTGGATGATAGCGTTTTTCAAACCTTGACATTGGGATGGTTTTATGATGCTGTTGGTATTTCCAAAACAGAAGGAGGGGAAGATGGGGTTTGTATATGGTGAAATATTTCCCAAAGTAAACGTTTTAGCTCAGCTACAGTAGGTAAAATTAGGAGTTCCTAAAACATCAAGGAAAAAATCAGGGAGCCCTCTTGCCCTTGTGCTTGCTGCCAGGTCAGCGGCCCCGGGCAGCAGGAGTTCATTAGAGGAGGAAAAGAAAACAAGCGGCCCCTCACTTCTTTGTATCCAGACTCTAGACGGAGTCTAGTGCTGTGGGGCAGAGCCACAGAGCCCCACCGGACAGATCAATGCTGGCACGACAGAGAATTCTTGGGGTGTTAAGGATGCTTTAAAATAACTCGTTTACAACAATATCCATTTCAGTAAGACCCATCCCAAGTGATTCTGGTATCAGCTCTCCGTGGGCCCCAGTTGCCACTCAGACTGGGAGAGACAAGGAGGAAGGGAAAGAAGACCAGGAGGAAAGGAAGTGGGCACTCCTGGGTGGCTTCATTCCAGCTCATTACAGACATCATCTCGTGTAAAATGTGACCCACCTGGTGGAGGCAGGGGAGATTAACTGAGCCTCCAAGAAGAGAAAATCACACTGTGGCGAATGGCAGAGAAGGAAGTCCAACCCAAGGCTGGGCAGGATGCCAAAGCAGGTGCCTCACCTTGACACTGAGTCCCTTCTCCTCACTGCTCCCCTCTCCCTCTGACTGATTCCAGCAACTTCGGGGGGTGGGGGATAAGCTAGGGTGACCAATCATTCCAGTGTGTCCTTGGAAAACGCCTCAGTGCTGGGCGAACCAGGACAGTTGGTCACCCTAGAAAACGGGCTGCCCAGCAGCTGAGCTTCCAGCCTTCATTTATCACCCTGGCGTCCTGACTTCTATGGAGAAGCGCTTTCTCTCTTCCTCTCCTCCGAGAACTCCTGACTTTATCTTATTTCTTCTTATATGAGGGTAATAACTTCTAATCATTTCACAGACACGTCTTGGTGGTTAGGAGTGCACTTCCCAGGTGAAATGTTTTTGAAAGCAGACAGAAGTGAGAGAGTAAGATGAGCTGGGATTCAGACCCCCAGGAGCATTTGGGGGTAACACCCTGCCTCACCCCTCCCTACAGCTCTCATGGTTAACCATCTCCTCCCCACCTCCCTGAAAAAAATTTTGATTTCCCTCTCCCATTATTTGTTTAGTGTTGGGTAGACCTGTCTGAGTCTACAAGAGTATTTGTTCTGCCTCCAGAAAGAGAAACAACAATGTACTTTTGCATGGAAACAAACTATGCCTGAAAACAGGACACAAGAGATATAAAGGCATGCATTAGTATGCAAAGGATGAGAGCAAAAGAGTAAAGGAAAATGAGCACAAGTCAGTTCTCTTCATATCAGCGGAAGGAGTAAGAAAACTAAAATGTGCATACGTAACATTAGCCTCCTGGTCTAAATTTTTCTGACATTTGAAAATAGGACATAATTCTAACAAAAAGGAACACAATGAAGCAAAATGTGGATATTTTTAAGCTGGGTGATAATGTGTGGAGTTTATTACTCCATTCTCTCTACTTCTGGGTGTGTTTGGAAATGCCAAAAATTAAAGAGAAAACCTAAAATATGTGACATGATAAAAGCATAAAATGGAATATCATGCAGCCTTTAAAAAAGAGTGAACTCAATCCATGTCTGCTAAAATGTGGAGACCATTATTTTTAAGTGACAAAGCAAAGACAGAACAGTCTTTTTTTTTTTTTTAGGGCCAGTCAAATTTAGCTGTGGGGGGGGGGTTGTATACCAACTTTAGTGTTAACAAGTTCTGAGAACCCACTATCATTGGACCAGCAAGACAGAACATTCTATATAGTATGACTACATTTTTTTTTAAATAAATGTGTGTGAATGGCCATCACAATACTGAAGGAGAAGAACAAAGTTGGAGGACTGATGCTACCTGACTTCAAGACTTACTATGAAGCTACAGTAAGTAAGACAGGGTGATATTGGTGAAAGAAGAGACAAATAGATCCATGGAACAGACTGGAGAGCTCAGAACTAGATGCACATAAATATAATCAACTGATCTTTGACAAAGGAGCAAGGGCAAGACAATGGAGCAGACATTCTCTTCAGTGGTGTTCAAACAACTGGACATCCATGTGCAAAAAACCCAAATCTAGACAAAGACCTTACACCTTCACAAAAATTAACTCAAAATGGATCTCTGGCTTAAATGTAGAACACAAAACTATAAAACTCCTAGAAGATGACATAGACAACCTAGATGACTTGGGTATGGTGATGACTTTTTAAATATGACCCCAAAGGTACAACCCATGAAAGAAATAATGCATCAGCTGGAGGTCATTAAAATGTAAAACTCCTGCTCTGTGAAAGACAAGGTCATGAGAATGAGAGAACAAGACACAGGGGAGAAAATACTTATAAAAGACACATCTAATACAGGACTGTTATCCAAAATATACAACAAAACAAAACAAAACAAAACAACCCTCTTAAAACTCAACAATAAGCAAACAATCCAATTTTAAAATGGGCCAAAGAACTTAAGAGACCCCTCACCACAGAAGATATACAGGTGGCAAATAAACACCACTAGTAGATACCCTGCATCATATGTCATAAGGGAAATGCAAATTAAAACAACAATCAGATACCACTATTAGAATGGCCAGATTCTGGAACACTTACAACATCAAATGCTGGTGAGGATGGAGAGCAACAAATTCTCAGTCATTGCCAGCGGGAATGCAAAACGGTGAAATTACTTTGGAAGACATTTTGGAAGTTTCTTATAAAACGAAACATACTTTTACCATCCGATCCAGCAATCATGTTCCTTGGTATCTACCCAAAGGAGTTGAAAACTTACAAAAACCTGCACACGGATGTTTATAGCAGCTTTATTCAAAATTGCCAAAACATGGGAGCAAATAAGATGCCCTTCAGTAGGTGGACGGAGCCATAAACCGCAGCACCGTAGAAAATGGAATGTTATTCAGCACTAAGAAGAAATGAACTATCAGGCCACGAAGACACACAGGGACTTTAAGGGCACATCACTAAGTGAAAGAAGCCGTTCTGAAAAGGCTACAGACTAGATTACTTCCGCTATATGACATTCCAGAAAAGGCAAAATTTGGAAACAGGAAAAAGATCAGTGGTTGCCAGGGGTTAGAGGTAGGGGGATGGGGATCAAAAGGTGGAACTCAAAGGATTTTTAGAGCAGTAAAAAAGACTCTGCGTGGGGCGCCTGGGTGGCTCAGTTGGTTAAGCGACTGCCTTCGGCTCAGGTCATGATCCTGGAGTCCCGGGATCGAGTCCCACATCAGGCTCCCTGCTCGGCAGGGAGTCTGCTTCTCCCTCTGACCCTCCCCCCTCTCATGCTCTCTCTCTCTCTATCTCATTCTCTCTCAAATAAATAAATAAAATCTTTAAAAAAAAAGACTCTGCGTGATGTCATACTGATAGAACATGTCAGTATATATTTATCTAAACCCAGAGAGTGTGCCACACCAGGAGTGAAGTCTGATGTAAACTCTAGGTGATTGTGATGTGTCCATGTAGGTTCGTCGTGGAACAAATGTATCACTCTGGTGGGGGATGTTGATCATGGGGGAGGCCATGCATGTGGGGGGGCACGGGGGGATATGGGAAACGTCTGTACCTACCTTCCTCTCCATTGTGCTGTGAACTTAAAAGTGCTCTAAAAATTGTCTTCATAAAGAAAAAGAAGAAGGATAGGAGGGAAAGGAGGAGGGGGAGGCGTAGGAGGGAGAAGTCTCCCGGAGGGTTTTCGAGTAGATTCCTGACTCTGCTAGACTCTGGGGCCAGCACAGGCTTAGGGGCACTGTTGATGCAGATACCATATGCACTTTGTCAAAGTGAGGGAGAAATGGACTTACAAGTGAGAAGATTATAGTTCCAAGGCCAGCGTACAACAGATGCAACCACTGCAAAGAGAAGAAACAATTGTATGTTAAGAACAAGATTCAGAATAATGAAAGGGCTCACCTGGGTCACTGCTGTCAGATAAGGACCCAATATTACAGAAAGTCAAATCTGTGGGGAAATTCATCTTTTTGAACATCGTGGTCCACAGCATCCACTCCATTCCATTCAGCCAACAAATGAAAACAACCCTTACCAAATCAGTTTTTTTTTTTAAAGATTTTATTCATTTATTTGACAGAGAGAGACAGCAAGAGAGGGAACACAAGCAGGGGGAGTGGGAGAGGGAGAAGCAGGCTTCCCGCCGAGCAGGGAGCCCCATGTGAGGCTCGATCCCAGGACCCTGGGATCATGACCTGAGCCAAAGGCAGATGCTCAATGACTGAGCCACCCAGGCGCCCCGCCAAATCAGTTTTATCAAGTAAGTGTTAAACATCTCATGCATGGTAAGGCAAGTAGAACATACTGGATATGTTTCACTTTCTGCACCATCACATAGCCCTTTTCCAGCACCTGCCCCTACACTCAGCTCTTGGAACAGGTCGCTCTGGGAAAATAGTGACCCTCCAGCGCCCTCGCTAGAGCTGATTGACAAGAGATGGAAGACATCCACTCCAACAGCAGTGACTCTCTTGACTGACCAGAAACCTTATAGGTGAGTAGGATCAAACAAATGCACCAGGCCGGTCAGAAATTCCCAGAGGCTGTTGTATCATCAGCTAGTGCTGGAGCTATTACTATCCAAATAGAGTTGGCCAGTCAGCTCAGGCCAAGAGAGGAAGGGGAGGGGATTTCCATTTCTGTGAATCCTGTCGCTTCTTCCTACCTAGGAGTTCCATGAACATCCCCTGAGTCTTTGCCTCAAGCTAGTCTGTTCAGTGCAACCAAAACAGCCCTGATCAGAATATAGGACTGATCTGAATGCCAAAGGGGTTGGCTTTACATGGGGGAGAGGATAAAGAGGTGGTGCATAACATATGAGAAAAATCATGTCATTCACTTTTCAGGACAAGAAAGCTCATCCTAGATAAAGAGAGCATTCTGCTAATCAGGGAAGATTCTTGGTGAAGGACATAAATTAGGAGTCAGTGACACAGTGTGGGAGGGGCAGTGTTAACACTAAGAAAACACCTGATGACTGGAGTCTGAAGAATTCAAAATTGCCCAAGTCAAACAAGCATGTATACTTACAACAAGGTTCTGTCAAAGTCTTCCGTTTAAACGGGTGTGTAAGATTATATATTGTAGATATTTGTGAAAGGAAGTTTACAGTGGGAACTGGAGTTCATCTATCTAGTAGGAAACACAGTTCCTTAACTGCACCTAGATGGTATTGTAAAGACCTACAGAACCAACCTAATAAATATTTGGGTTATTACTACCAGTATCTGGGCTACCATCCGTAATAATAATTGGAGAGCTGTATGGCCTCTTAAAGAACATCTTTGTGATATCTTTGAGTTTTTATCTCTAAAAGATAGATGCTAAACATAAATTAAAATAAATAAAATATAGATGCTATCTCCCTAGCTGTAAGTCTCTACGGTCATTCAGAAAGCTAAACCAATTCAGGCAGAACTGCTGGTTATGTGTCTGAAGATGACTGAACAAGTCCACTTGTTATCAAAGAAACTCTGATTCAGCAGTTGGGCCAAGCTGGCCTTGGGGCTTTAGTCCAAAGGTCACAGGCCGCAGGCCAGTCCCCAGTGGACCCGGCCGCCTGTCTCCACACAGGGGCCAATGCCAGCCAGGCCATAGGCCCAGACGCTCTGCCTCCACTTCCCCCACAGCCCTGCAGCCTCAGTCCGCAGACGGTGCGCAGTGCGGGAAAGGGCGTGGCCCTGGTGTCACACAGATGGGGCTTTCATCCCACCCCTACCACGTACTCCCCGTGTGAACTTGGAGGAATTATTTAATTTCCCTGAGCCTGTTTCCTTACCTATATAATATGTGACCTATGTACTTTTCAGGAAGGTCGTGAGAATTCGATGTAATGCCTATGTGAAAACCACAGGCTTGTGTCTAGTAAGAAGTCAGTGAAGATATAAAAGGAAGAAAGGAAGGAAAGCAGCAAGCAAAGCTGGAATTGGAAAACAAGGAGCCTCCTCTAGGCTGTTGTCGGGGAAAGTCTTAAAAAGCCCATGTCTCCACTCCTATCACTTCAAACAAGCGGCACCTAAGGATAGGAGTCGGAGTCTGACCTGCCCCGTGGGGAGATTCACCCCCTACACTGTCTGAGGGAAAGACATCTGTGGTCTAGAGAAGGAGCTCAGTCTTCATGCCCCACACTTCATGTCCTTGGCACACTGGGCAGCCACAAGGACAGGCCTCACGGACCTCCAGCTCCAGGGAGGGGCCTGGCTGCCACTTCTCAGTCACTGGGAAGTGACTTCCTGGGAGACACAGGAGTGCAGTCAACTTTAGCTCAAGGGCGCCCTGAAGGCCTTGATGAACCTGCCTTGACTTCCTGTCTCGAAGGCTCGAAGGCTCCCGCCACCCACCTTCCCCCTCCTTCACTTGGCGTCAGATACGCTACTGGGGTCGAACAGGTCTTCCAGCCACCAGCGGCTCCCCGGCCCCTTTCCTCCCAGAGACATTTCTCCCGTTTCAGTCCTCACGTGCTTCACGCATTTCAGGTCTGCTTCTCAGAGGATCCAGGCCAACACAACCTACACAACACAACCACGTCACCCTACATTTCTAACGATTCTCTGAGGTTCCCAAATGAGATCCCACTTACATATGATCGTATGAAGAGTAAGAGAATTCCATAGATAATAAGTACGAAGAGTAAAACAAACAGCATTCCATTGAGCATGGTGAAATCCCACTGAGGAAACACAACACAAAAACAACTCAGTTATCATCCATAAGGAATTTCAGGATGTTTAGAGACGCATTTTATACCCATAGATAGACACTGACCCGTTTGCTAATATTAACCCAGGACATTTCTGAGAACCATGGAAATCCATTTGCCCCACCACGGAAAAATGCTACATTAAAAAGCGTGCTGTTGACTGGAACTTGCTTCAGGAGGGAGGAGTGGGTCGGAGTATGGAGGAAATCACAGGAGCCAAGGATACATGAGGGTTCATTATACTATTCTATTTTGTATTTATATGAAGTTTCCCCTAATAAAAAAGGTACACTGAATAAGTAGGATGTAAATTTATATGTATAGTATGATCATAATTATTCATATCTTTATTTTTTTATTTTTATTTTTTTTTTAAGATTTTATTTATTTATTTGACAGAGAGAGACACAGAGAGGGAACACAAGCAGGGGGAGTGGGAGAGGGAGAAGCAGACCTCCCGCGGAGCAGGGAGCCCGATGCGGGGCTCGATCCCAGGACCCTGTGATCATGACCTGAGCCGAAGGCAGACGCCCAATGACTGAGCCGCCCAGGCGCCCCTATTCATATCTTTAAAAGTGTTGTGCATAGAATACAGTAATGGAATGAAATAGACCAATGTTAACTGGGCACCTTTTTCATGTTTGTATGCATATGTTTTAATAAAAATACACTATGCTGGGGCGCCTGGGTGGCTCAGTCATTAAGCGGCTGCCTTCAGCTTGGGTCGTGATCCCGGAGTCCTGGGATCGAGTCCCGCATCCGGCTCCCTGCTCAGCGGGAAGCCTGCTTCTCCCTCTCCCATTCCCCCTGCTTGTGTTCCTGCTCTCGCTGTCTCTCTGTCAAATAAATAAATAAATAAATCTTTTAAAATAAATAAATAAAAATAAAAATACACTATGCTTTAAAAAATTACTGCTAATGATTCTTTTGCAATTTTGAAATTTATTAATATGCTTTTTGGTTTTGCCTTTTTAATAAATCAGGGACCAAATCAGCCTGGGAAAGATGAGGATTCTTTTTTTTTTTTTTTTTCATTTGTCAGAGAGAAAGAGCACAAGCAGGGCGAGAGGCAGAGGCAGAGGGAGAAGCAGGCTCTCCGCGAAGCCGGTAGCTGGATGCAGGACTCGATCCCAGGACCCTGGATAAAGGACTCGATCCCAGGACCCTGGCTCCATGACCTGAGCTGAAGGCAGACGCTTAACTGACTGAGCCACCCAGGCGCCCCCAAAAGATGAGGATTCTTTTAAAGGAAGGGTAATATCATCTTCTGACCTGAATAAGGTTATGCAGCAAAAGAAGACCCTTGAAATCTCCGATATTTTGTCAGAGCGTTTTCCTACTTCCTCTATTTCCCCCCTCACTCCCTACCCTTTGCACACCAAGAGAGTAATCTGAAGTATTAGGTCTCCAAGGGTGGTTCCGCACCATCAGCATCAGCGGTGCAATGCAAATTACTGGGCCCAGCCCCAGGCTTTCTGAAGCCGCCACCCCAGGGTGGAGCCCACGGAACCTGCTTTCGCAAGCCCTCCAGGTGATTCTGATGGCTGTTAAAAAAATGTTTGTCTGCAGCGGTGCATTCAATACTTGCGGCTGGTGGGCATTTGAAGGGTGGCTCAAGTGAAGTGGGCTGTAAGTTTAAAACACACTGGATTTGAATTTTAGTTCAAAAAAGGATGTAAAATAGTAAAATGTTTGTTCTAGCGATTACGGAAACGGTAATCCCTTGCATATATCCGGTTAAATGAAATATATGATCAAAATTAATTTCACCTGGTCTTTTTTTTTTTTTTTTTTTTTGCCTTTTTAACGTGGTGACTAGCAAAGTCAGACGCCAGAGGGCGGGGAGGCCACGGAGGCGAGGCCCGCAGGACCGCAGTGAGCAGGAGGGAGGAGGGGTAAGAGCGGGTCAGCAGGGGCACCGGAACACACACCCGCACACTCGCCTAGGACGGTAATCGGAGCCGGTGATACATACTTTCGTTTGAAGAGCAAACAGAGTGAGCGATAACGTCACCACTGCGGTTGCAGCCGTTGCCCATAACACTTCCTCGGCGTTATAGAAACTGAAAGCAGAGACTGTGATTACTGTTGACATACATACAAGGAGAAGCACGCACGGAAAAGGAAATGTGTATCCAAGACTTACACTGATACGGCTCCGAGCAGCAGACCTTGAAGAACCGTCTAAAAACAAAATGCACAGTAAATCAGACCCCCGATTCCCGAGGCGCAGAAGCCAGAGGAGACGGCTTAAGGGGCGGGTGTTCGGGGCAGGGTCGAGGGAGCGAGCGGGAGCGCGGATAACGCCAGCGTGCAAAACTACCGGGAAGATTAATTACGGGAAACGGTGGAGCTAAACATTTTCCTAACGTTCCCCCCAGACTGACAAGATTCTTTTATTAGTAAAAATTCTTAGAACGCAGGAGTAACTTTCAACGTACTTAGGGAATTAAAGATGCATTCAATAGGAATACCGAAACCGTAATAAAAGGTTTATCTGTAGACCATATTGCCGTTGATCCCATGGCGCCAACCACACAGAATCCTAATTTATCAAAGCAGGATATGCTATTTCCACTGATGCTTCGCCAGCAGCCTCGGTACGGACCCTTCCTACAGTGGGTGAGAATTAAAAGCTTCAGACCTCAGAAGAGGGGGGAGGATGGAGGCCCTTCCAGCCCCGGGGACGGGGCTCGAGGGCAGTTCTCCACTGCGCGTGGAGCTGCACCTGTAGGTGCCAGTCTCAGGCTCAGAAGCGGGCTGCACCGGGGCCGCACCGGGGCTGCACGAGGCGGGAGCGTGGCCGCCGGCTGACCGCAGCCGGGGCGGCGCCGTGAGCCAGAGAGGCGCTCAAGCCAGAGGAGGAGCCCAACAAAGGCAACAGGGAGGGCCCCAGGGGCACAGCCGGGCTCCAGCAGCAGACAGGTGGAGTGCGACAGCAGTGAACAGTGGCTGAAGGGCCTGACGACATTCCCCAGCTGGTAGGGCGCCTCCACCAGAGGCAAGGCCGGAGCCTTGGCTCACTCTCTGGCCCGCGGCAGGAGCCAGGAGAGAATCCGCTAGAGCCCGGGAGTAAAAATGAAGACGCAGCCTAACCAACCGCGGGGCGAGGGCTGCTAGAGCGGCTTTGAGCTTCTCCAGCTGGCCAACGGTATCCGGGACGGGAGAGGAGAACGACCGCGGCCCCCAGAGTCCTGGATTGCGTCTCCGCGTGTCCCAACCCCGGTGAGTAGCTGCCTGATTCTCTACTTTGTTAAATTTCCCAGAGCTGTCTTTATTTCCGGTATAGGTTTAAAAAGCTCTGTTTGTTCCATGTACACGTGCTATTTGAAAAACGTGCTTGCTTCCAACCTTCCTCTTAAGATTTTCTTCTCCTACTTGCTCGATTGCTGCGTATTCCTCCATCTTTTGCAGCACGTGTGTGTGTGTGTGTGTGTGTGTGTGTGTGAGAGAGAGACAGAGAGACAGAGACAGAGACAGAGGGAGACCGAGAGAGAGGATGGCGGGAGGAAGACAGAGGTTGGAGGGAGAGGGAAAGATTTAAAGCGGGAAACCAGGGGCGCCTGGGTGGCTCAGTCCTTAAGCGTCTGCCTTGGGCTCAGGTCATGATCCCAGGATTCTGACTCCCTGCTCAGCGGGAGCCTGCTTCTCCCTCTCCCACTCCCCCTGCTTGGGTTACCCCTCTCGCTGTCTTTCTCTCTGCCAAATAAGTAAATAAAAATCTTTTAAAAAATAAATAAATAAAGCGGGAAACCACTCTTTCCGTCTTCCCAAGAGGAGAATGAGAAGTCAGACCCGCCTAATGGCTTCAAGAGCACAGAACATGGGCTCCAGGGGCTAAAATGCTATGGGACAAAAGGTGTCCTCAGGGGCGCCTGGGTGGCTCAGTTGGTTAAGCGACTGCCTTCGGCTCAGGTCATGATCCTGGAGTCCCGGGATCGAGTCCCGCATCGGGCTCCCTGCTCGGCGGGGAGTCTGCTTCTCCCTCTGACCCTCCTCCCTCTCGTGCTCTCTGTCTCTCATTCTCTCATTCTCTCTCTCGCAAATAAATGAATAAAATCTTTAAAAAAAAAAAAAAAAAGGTGTCCTCAGTGTGTGTGTTTTCATTTTCCCCTCAACTCCTTTTCTGAAATGGTTTTCTCCATATTTTTCCTAATACTTAGTCAAAACATAAAGTCTAGAAGATATAACTAATTCTTTGTCCCTCCACAATATTTTCTTAAGCTGTTACCTGCTTTGGGATACACAACAAAACCTCAGAGATGAGAGCTTCTTTTGAGACCAATAACTTTGATCTCCTGTAATAATTTAAATTTTTTTCTTGGAAATTTTTAAAATAAAAAATTCGGGAGTTTTGGGGAAAAACTTCCCCACCCTATTGCCTCTGCTCCAGGATTCCCAATATCTTTCTGTGTCTGGCTTTTAGCCCCCACTCCTTCCTGAGTGTGGTCTCTGTAGGAACTGGGAGAAACCACCTGCTCTCCTCAGCAATGAGCAGGGTATCCACGCCAGGTACGAAAGGCCTTTCAATGCTCTGGCAACCAAGGAAGTGCCCACATGTAAGCATCAGAGAGCTAGTCTTCTCCAGCCTCGGGATGAAGCTATTCTTTCCAACATAGAAATCACACTGGACACTGCACTATATGGATGCTGAGAATCTCGCCATTGGCATGTGTCCTTCCTCTCTTTGACCACCAGAAGGCACAGACCCAAATCCAGGTTTATCACACTCAAGTGTGTAGGACGATGCATTTTTTAAATTTTTAATTGAAGTATAGTTGACATACAATATTGTATTAGTTTCAGGTATACAACATAGTGATTTGACAATTATATACATTACAAAATGCTCACCACAGTAAGGGAGGTATCATCTGTCATCATACAAAGTTATCATGATAGGATTGACTACGTTCCCTGTGACTTATTTATAACTGAAAGTTTGTACCTCTCAAACTCCCAACACCTGTATCTCCTACTCCCTCTCCCCCCGCCGCCCTCCCCACTGCCCAACCTCTCACAACCACCGGTCTGTTCTCTGTATTTATGAGTCTGTTTCTGTTTTGTTTGTTCATTTGTTTTGTTTTGTGGATTCCACAAATAAGTGAGACCATATGATATTTGTCTTTCTCTGTCTGACTTATTTCACTTTGTACTTACCCACTAGGTCCATCCATGTTGTCATAAGTGGCAAGATTTCGTTCTTTTTATGGCCGAATAATACTCCATTGTATATATGTACCATCTCTTCTTTATCAATTCATCTATCAGTGGACGCTTAGGTTGCTTCCATATCTTGGCTATTGTAAATAATGCAGCAATAAACATAGGGGTGCACATATCTTTTTCAATTAGTGTTTTCATTCTTTGAGTAAATACTCAGAAGTAGAATTACTGGATCGTATGGTATTTCTATTTTTTAATTTTTGGAGAAACTCCATCCCATTTTCCACAGCAACTGCACCAATTTATATTCCCATCAACAGTGCAAGAGGCTTCCCTTTTCTCCACATCCTTGCCAACACTTGTTATATCTTGTCTCTCTGATAGTAGTCATTTCTGACTTGTGTGAGGTGGTATCTCATTGCATTTCCATAATGACTAGTGACGTTGAGCAGATCATCTGTTGGCCATCTTGTATGTCTTCTTTGGAAAAATGTCTATTCAGGTTCTCTGTGCATTTTTTCTTAGATTTTTTTGGTGTTCATTTGTATGAACAGATAGATAGATAGTATATACATATATATGATATTAACTCTTTATCAGCTATGTCATTTGCAAATATCTTCTCCCATTCAGTAGGTCACCTTTCTGTTTTGTTCCTTCCCTGTGCAAGAGATTTTTAATTTGATGTAGTCACAAATGTTTATTTTTGGTTTTGTTTCCCTTGCCTGAGGAGAATGATCCAAAAAGTATTGCTAAGGCCGATGTTCAAGAGTTTATTGCCTGTGTTTCCTTTTAGGAGTTTTATAGTTTCAGGTCTCACATTTAGGTATTTAATCCATTTTGAGTTTATTTTTGTGTATGGTATAAGAAAGTGGTCCAGTTTCATTCTTCTGCATGTGGCTGTCCAGTTTTCCCAGCACCATTTGTTGAAGAGACTGTCCTTTTTCCATTGTATATTCTTGCCTTCTTTATTGAAGATTGATTGACCATATAGTTGCGGGTTTATTTCTGGGCTCTCTATTGTGTTCCATTGATCCATGTGTCTGTTTTTGTGCCAGTACCATACTATTTTGATTACTCTAGCTTTGTAGTAGATCTTGAAATCTGGGCTTGTGACACCTCCAGTTTTATTCCTCTTCCTCAAAACTGCTTTGGCTGTTCAGAGTGCATAGGACTATGCATTTTGTATACAATCTAACCACTGGCATTATTTTCCTACCCTTATTTTATTCCTTTCATCAGATTCCCCCACCAATTTATCTTATCTTCTTATATTCATATTCTGGGTATTTTTATAAGCTCCCTTAAATCTGATGAAGAATTAATCAGTTGGTAAGTAAATCTTCACAATGGGAGGGTGCTGAGATCCTGGAATCCTGTGAGCAGCAGGGAAAGGAACTGGCAGCAAGAAAAAGAGCCACATGTTTTCTGTGGCCCAGAGCAGCACTGATCCACAGAGAAAGGACCAACGTGGCAAGGACTTGTGAGTAGAAGCCCCATGGGAGGCGCTGTGAACAGGGAACTAGACCATGCGTAAGTGAGGGGAGGAGAGCCAAGGACCTGGACACCCCCAACCCCCAACTCTCCTGAACTGAGATGCAAGGTGAGGAAATAGGGAGAAGCTGCGCTGAGATGGGTTTCTGCTCCCGGTGAGACTTGAAACAAATAAATCTTACAAAAATAAGGAAAATTACACTTCTCACCCACGAGTTTGTGAACCAAATGTGAAACCCACTTTCCATAACAAAATGGGTTTGTGGTGCCTGGCAGAGCGCCAGAAACAGTCAAGTTAGCTATTCCTAAAATGCAGCCCAGACTCGGAGGGGGCTCCCCCATGTGGCCTCTCAAGGCAAGTTTGCCCAGGGTCCCCAGATACTCTCTCTCAGTAAAGGGGTGTGGATACTGTCTCATAAGTAAGTTTATGACTTCATTACAACCAGAATCCAGCCAAGAGAACATCTCACAAATACTTTATCTGTATTATTCCACAGGAAGATTTTCCACAATAAAAGGAGTGGAATTACTAATGTGACAGGAATAGATTTCAGAGGCAAGCAACAAGGAGTGCTAACAAAGTCTACTTACAAATAATCCCAGGAGAATGTAATTCGCAGGCACCTGGCGGCGGAGCTTCCCGCAGCAAGCAAGTACAATCAGTACAACAAAAAATGCCGGCCTGAGGATAATTTAAAGCCACGTGTTATTTGCTTCCAGTGATTATATCACATGATATAGGAAGATAAATAGATAGAGATAGAGATACGTTATTATATGTTATCATCTGATACTAAGTATAAAGTAAACAAAAATATATGCAGATGATTACCTTTGCTTCTTTTTTTTTTTTTAGCTTTTAAAACTAACTTTGCTCATTGCCATCCATGGAACTTTTTAAATTTTATTTTGAAATAATTATAGATTGACAGGAAGTTGCAAAAAGACAGAGAGGTCCCATGTATCCTTCACTCCGTTTCCCGCAGTGGTTACATCTTACATATATATAGGATAATACCAACACCATTAATTTGACATTGGTACAATGTGTGTCTAATGCTATGTCATAGACCTATGACACAAGTCCGTGTAGGTATGTGTAACCAGCACCACAATCAAGATTTGAAACTATCCCATCATTAAAACATCAACAAAGATCTCCCTCATGCCATGCCTTTATGGGAACACACAGACACACACATACCCTAGCTCCTACTAACCACTAATTTGCTTGTTTCTCATCTCTATAGTTTTGTCATTTCCAGAATGTTATACCTTTACTTAATTTTTAATAAAGAACCTCAATCAATAGCTGGTAGAAAAATCACTTTTTATGAAATCCAAGAATACTTACAAGATTGCATAGGTGAACCAGGCATTCATGAGCACCCAAGATTTTAAACCCGTCCTGATTAAAAAAAAATTAATATAGTTTTAAACAATAAATTGTTTAATGTAATACTTAAGTAGAAATAAAACAATTTCATGAGAAAGGGGTAAATCCTAAATGACTGACAGTGACAAATGAGGAGTGAAATAATGAAACCTAGAACTATACCTTGCTTCTTAAAATAGACTCATAAAAAGACAGTCATGTAAGTCAAATTTGTATGAATGTACATGTTCTGGTGACGTTTTTATTTTTAAAAAATACTGAGGTCTCTAGGTGTACAAAGCAAAAAAAAAAATATCAACTTCTCATAAATTTGTTTTGTAAATAGAGATTTTCATAGGCTAAGTTTAAGCAGTGATGGATCATAGCCCCGAAATAATTTCTGCATTTAACCGCGTTCCAAGTCTCCAAAGCCTCCATAATCTCCTTCTTCCTTTTATCCACTTTTATCTGTGGAAATAGCTCAGGGGAAATAGAAAATGAAATAGTGCCCCAAATAAGAGTAAGACAAAAAGGTCTCGGCTTAGGAAGTTGAAGCAAAACCATAGAAATCTACCAACACCTCGGTCTAAGAGTTGCCTCAGAAACCACAAAGCTATAGAAATATCATATCCTATGGATGTTTAAGAGAAAACAGATAATGTTTAATGATCAGAATTAAGTCGAGTCGATTCAATAAGAATTAATGTGAACAACTTAATATTTAATTTACATTAGTAACAAAGACTTACCAGAAAATAAACAGGCTGACAATTGCCCCAGTGACCACCAGCTGAGCTGACAGGATCAGGAACACTTTGATAATGAAAGCTGAAGAGACAGAAACATTATTTTCATGACACAATATTCAAAACTAAAAATAGAAATGTAATTATTTATTTTTGATACTTAACAGAAAGAATATTTCCTCTGACTTTTTGAGGAGGGGAAAAGGAGCACTAGTTTAGGCTCAGCAGATGGAATAACCACAGAGATCCAGCTCTGCAGACCTTGTGGAAAGTATCCCGTTCGGATTGTTACAAGTGTTTTCCTGGAGATCTGAGGGTTTATCTGCGGAAGGCCCAAAATCTAAAAGACAAACAGGAATTTAATTCCTTATTATGCACACCCCATCCTCCTTAGGACTAAAAGTGACCTGAAAGTCCCTGGCTGTCACAGGCCATCATTAGGGGTCCGGGTCCACCCGCAGAAGAAATGGAGCGCAGGTAGAGAGGGCAGCTAGCCCTCAGAGACAGATGCGGGCTGCCAGGTGTTCACAGAGCCTTCCCACCACTTCTCTCGCCAGCCTGCCTCCCTTTAGCAATTCCCTTCCCTTCGACTTGAGCAGAAACTGGATAACATGAGGAATCATAAGAGCACAGAGGTCCCAGCGGCATGCCAAAGCTGAGTGCAGAGGATGTCAGTGTCTCTTTTTGCTTCCTTCCTCCTGCACAGCTCTTCCCGGAACCCTCTGAATATGGTGCTGAATATGATGACAGTGAGCTGTTTGGTAGCTCTGTCTCAATTTTAAAAGAAAAAAAAAATTCTGCTTAGAGTTGTCAACTGTGTCCTTTGGCTAGGTGGTGTTGATGCGTTGGAAGGGTGACAACAAAGAAATGGGATTGAGCTATCTTAATCAAAATACCAGAACATATGTGCCCCAGTGGGGCCTGCCTACGTTAAAATATTCATGTAGTCAACATTTATTGCACATCTACTATATATCAGAGACTGTGAGGGAATAAATATTAGATGTGGCCCAGCCTTATAAGACTAGACTAGACGTAAGATCGCTAGAATAGAATTGACAGTCCAGAAATAATCCCTTACATTTATGGCCAACTGATTTTTAACAAATGTGCTAGAACAATTCAAGGGAGAAAGAATAGTCTTTTCAAAAAAAGGTGCTGGGACAACTGGACATATACATATCAAAGGATGAATCTGGATCCTTTCCTCATGTCATACACAAAAACTATTAGTTTAAAATGGATCATAAACATAAACATAAAAAACAACTCTTGGGGTGCCTGGGTGGCTCATCTTAAAGTATCCAACTCTTGGTCTCAGCTCAGGTCATGATCTCAGGGTCTTGAGATCACGCCCACATCGGGGCTCCTCGCTCAGCAGGGAATCTGCTGCCCCTCTCCCTCTGCCCTTCCCTCCCTCCCCACCTCGCGCTCTCTCTCTTTCTAAAATAAGTAAGTCTTTAAAAAAAAAGAAAGCTCTTGGAAGAAAGCGTAGATGTAAATCTTTGTGAGCAGGAATCAGGCAATAAATGTTTTAGATATGACACCTAAAGCATAAGCAAAGAAAGAAAAGAACAAATTGGATTTCATCAAAAGTAAAAGCTTTGTCCTTCAAATGACACCATCAGAAAGTGAAAGAAAACCCCAAACTGGGAGAAAATATTTGCAAATCATGTATCTGATACGGGACTTGTACCTAGAATACACAAAGAACTCTCACGATTCAATAACATGAAGATAAATAATTAAAAATGGACAGAGCTTGGGCGCCTGGGTGGCTCAGTCGGTTGAGCGACTGCCTTCGGCTCAGGTCATGATCCTGGAGTCCCGGGATCGAGTCCCGCATGGGGCTCCCTGCTCGGCGGGGAGTCTGCTTCTCCCTCTGACCCTCTCCTCTCTCATGTGCTCTCTCTCTTTCATTCCCTCTCTCAAATAAATAAAATCTTAAAAAAAAAAAAATGGACAGAGCTTGTGTGGTGCCCCCCCCAACTGACACTGGGCTTGGCCACATGACTTGTGTTGGCCAATGAGACATCAGCATGCGTGAAGCCAGGAAAGGCTTGACAAACTTCTTGGCACAATGGGGCTTGTCTACCTGGTACTTGGGACCCAACTCCCAAGTGATGAGAAACTCAAGTCATAAAGAGAGAGCCATGTCAAGGAGTCGGAATGGCCACTCAGCCTCAGCTGCCATCTGATTACAACTGCATTAGAACCCCAATTCAAGACCAGCACAAGAACCACCCAACTGAATCCAGTCAACCCACGGACTCATGAGAGATAATAAAATGGTTGCTGTTTTTTAAAAAGTGGGCAAAGGATTTGTACAGATATTTCTTCAAAGAAGATATTCAAATGCCCAATAAGTTTGTGAAAAGATGCTCAACATCATTAGTCACTAGGGAAATACAAATCAAAACTACAGTGAGATACCACCTCACATACACTAGAATGGCTATAATAAGAAAGACAGACAATAACAAGTGTTGACAAGGACGTGGAGAAACAGAACCCCTCATACATTGCTAGTTGGAATGGAAAATGGTGCAGCCACTATGTTTAACATTCCTCAGAATGTTTATATTTAACATATAATTGTTTAATATAAACAATTCCTAGGTATCTACTGCCCAAAAGAAATGAAGACGTATGTCTACACAAAAACTCAAATATGAATATTGATCACAGCATTATTCCTAATAACCAAAAAGTGGAAACAGCCCAAATGTCTGTCAGCTGAAGAATAAATAAACAAAATGTGTTCTAATGAGGCGATGGAATACTATACGAGCATAAAGAAGGAATGAAGTTTGGACACATACTACAACACGGTGAACCTTGAACATAATGCTAAGTCTAAGTAAAAGAAGGCAATCGCAAAAGATCACATATCATATGGTTCCACTGATATGAAATATCCAGAATACACCAATTCATAGAGACAGAAAGTTAGTGGTTTTCAGAGGCCAGGGGGGAGGATGGGATGGGGAGTGACCGCCAATGGGTATGGGTTTCTTTTTGTGGTGACGATTGCACAACTCTGTAAATATACTAAAAATCATTGAATTGTACACTTAAAAGGGGTGAGTTTTATGATATGTAAATTGTATAAAGCTGCTTCAAATAATGATAGCCCCCCAGTCCCATAGCTTTTCATCCATTACCCTGCTGTGCTTTTCCTTTGTTTCCATAAGACTTTCATCTTTTTGCACACCATATTAATTTTTTTTAAGTGGGAGAGGGCCCAGCCTCTGCCCTCCAGGAGAGACAGACGCAAATAACTAACTCTAACAGTGGTGGGGAGGCCTTCAACCTGATTTCCTCATGTGTTAAATGACACTACAATGCTTTCACTTACAGGGTTGTTGTAAGGACTAAATGCAAAACTCTTCCTCTCGCGCAACGCCCGGTGCTGAAGGACTGGCACCAGGGGCAGAAGTGGCTCATGTGGTGCCATCCAGCCTCCCTGGCTTCCTCACCACCCAACCCCAATCTGGTTAAAGAGGACAATGGGCCCAACCAAAAAAACTACAGATGGAGGTGGCCGTGGGATCCTGGTAGGGTCAATGACGAGCAAGTGGAAATTCCTGGGTGTGGTTTCTAGGAAAGCCTCTGAAAAGAAGTCAGACTTGGCTTACTCTCAGGCCTCTGTCCATGAATAGCACCTCTTGGAGCTGTCGAGGCAGCAGACCAGGTTTAGCCTTTCTTTGCCTTTGCCTTTGCCTTTCCCCGCCTGGAAGGCTAGGGCTCCAAAAGGCATCTTTCCAGCCACAAGATGGGAAGTGAGGGCCACAAGGAGACAGCAGTGGGGTTCAAAACTCACAGTCCACCTGTAAGTTGTCCAGGCCCTAAGAGGGTCTAAGGATGACAGAGTGGTCACTCGGGACCGGTCGCATTTGCCTTGAACTGCATAGTTCATGAAAGAAAAAAGACGTTCATCGAAGCCACAGATTTTTAGGTTTCTATTGCTCACAGCTGAATGTATTTCCCATACAGCATTAATATCTAGGGGGCATTGAATTAATATGCTTTAGAACTAAAGCCAGTATAATGGGGCGCCTGGGTGGCTCAGTTGGTTAAGCAACTGCCTTCGGCTCAGGTCATGATCCTGGAGTCCCGGGATCGAGTCCCGCGTCGGGCTCCCTGCTCGGCGGGGAGTCTGCTTCTCCCTCTGACCCTCCCCCCTCTCATGTACTCTCTCTCTCTCAAATAAATAAATAAATCTTTAAAAAAAAAAAAACTAAAGCCAGTATCATAGCATCCCCTTGTAGGGAGGTGAGAACATTCTACAGTCGGTGGGTAGTTCATATTTCCCCAGGGAACCACACATTATTTACCATAATATATTTATTATGAATTTCTGAATACCCTGGACAACTAAGGGACCACCTACTACAGCAGCCCTACATCATGTTTCATGGTAAAGCGTAACTGGGAAAAACTAAAGGCAAAGTTAAAGCTTCTAACAATCCACTCTGGGAAAGCATTTTGAGAGAACACTTGCTTTTCTCTTCCAAAAAGGTAATTTTATGCTCACCTCTGCGGACCGATGAATCTGAGAATGGATTGGCTAAATTACTGCTGTCATTTGGGGTGGTCTCATCGGACATTTGTACCACATAGCTATCCACTCGCTCTTTCGTCTTTGAATGTGGATTCCCGCGAGTTTTTTGTGGCTCAGAAGGTGAAGTTGTGTAGGACTGACCGGACTTGATCTGGACGTTACTATCTGCTGCCTTCCGAACCAGATGCTGATGATCTCCAGAACTAAGGTCTATTGGTTCACTGACCTCCAAGTCCATTTTCCTGGAGGAGGAGAATTGTTATTCAAGTCCTTGTGCTCATACCACTACAATTTTAGCATCCTTATAACATTCAAATGAGTTTTCTATTTTTTATTTTTTTTAATTAAAAAAATTTTTTTAAGTTTTTTAGTAGGCTCTACGCCCAACATGGGGCTGGAACTCACAACCCCTAGATCAGGAGTCACATGCTATACCCGCTGAGCCAGCCAGGCACCCCTCAAACGATGTTTTCTTAATTTAACTCCCTTAGCTCAGGACTTACCAAGCCAGTACTTAACAAATAGTTATTGGGTGAGTGATGAACCAATACTTTTAAGAAGAGGCCTAGAGAGTAAAGTAACTTGCATTTTATAATGAAATGAATATGTTTATAAATTCATCTGCAAGGAGTTCATAAGCTCCCTCTTATGTGCCCGATGTGGAGCTCCCCTCATCACCTCTGCCCTCAAAGTGCTTATATTTTGGAGGAGAAGATAATCAAACAAGCAATAATATGAAAGCCAAATTAAGCAGGGTCAGGAACGATGGAAGATGATAATGAGAGCCCCTCATAACGTCTGGAGGAACATGCAGGAAGTAGAAGAGGTTGTCACAAGCTTCCAGAGAAAAGGAAGTTTCAGCCAAGGCTGAAAGATGAGTAGGAGGAAGAGGTGGGGAAAGGTTTTCCAAGGCAGGGGAGTCAGCCTGGACCAGAATGGGAAGAAGCAGAGAGGGCAGGTTCTGGAGCAGAATGAGGTTAGACAGAGGGCCAGTTAGGGCAGGTCAGTGAGGGACCGGCAAGCAAATTCATCCTGAAGGTCATGACCACGGTAGGCAGAATGAATGGCCCCCCAAAGATGTCCACACCCTAATCTCTGCGACTTGTGAATGCCCCTCACATGGCAAAGGGAACATTGCCGATGTGATGAAGCTAAGGACTCTGAAGTGGGAATAGGATCCTGGATTCTCTGGGTGGGCCCAACTGAATCATAAGCATCCTTATGATCATACTTATAAGAGGGAGACAGGAAGACCAGAGTCACGGAAGGAGAGATGACAATAGGAGCAGAGGTCCCAGTGACAGAGTTGCTGTCTCTGATGACGGAGGAAGGGGCCATGAGCCGAGGAATGCAGGAGGCCTCTGCAAGTTGGAAAAGGCAAGGATATGTATTCTCCCCTAGCACCTCCAAATCCTAGTGCTGGCACTTGGATTTTAGGCCAGGGAGACCGATTTGGGACTTCTGACCTGCAGAACTGTAAGAGAATAGATTTGTATTGCTTTAAGTCATTATGTCTGTAGTAATTTGTTACAGCCATAGGTAACTGATACAATGTGGAATTACTGAAGGTACTCCAGTAGGGGACCAGGGGATCTAACTAGAAAGACTGCACTAGGGCGCCTGGGTGGCTCAGATGGTTAAGCGTCTGCCTTCGGCTCAGGTCATGATCCCGGGGTCCTGGGATCGAGCCCTGCATCGGGCTCCCTGCTCGGCGGGGGACCTGCTTCTCCCTCTGCCTGCCCCCCTGCTTGTGCTCTCTCCTTCCCTCTCTCTCTGTCTCTCATGAAGAAATAAATAAAACCTTAAAAAAAAAAAAAAAAAAGACTGCACTAGGCGCAGTATGGAGAAAGGGCCAGAATAAGCAAAAGCGGAAGCAAAGAGACCAGAAATCCGGGTAAGAGTCTACGGTGGCTCTGGCACAGTGCTTTGGAGCAGAGCCCAGTTCTTAGAAAACCAGTACGAAATGAACCAAAAATGGCAAAGAAAAGCCCCCCGTTAGCTTCACGGGGACATGAAGACTCAGACAAGCCCCTGTTGCTGACCTGCTTCCCCACAGAAGATTGCTGAGAGGACCAGGGCTTGGTCAAACCATACCCCACTCGGGAATGGCATAAAAAGAAGGTCTGAACAGAACACCATGCTCTTGGAGAGGCAGACTCCATTTTACAAAGATGTCCTTCTCAAATTAACCTCTAAATTTTGCAAAATTCACTGGGATTTTTTTTTCAGTACTTGAAAACATAACTCTAAAGTTCATCAGAAAGAGTAAATATATGAGAATAATCAAGAAGAAAATTGAAAGAGAAGGAGCTGGGGAGTACTGATTTACCTTATTAGAAACCAAAATACCATGAAGCTACAGGATTAAAAGTATGGTTGTAGCACGTCAATAGATAAATGGATGGATGGGATGGAAGAGATGTAAGAAATAGACCCATGTGTATGAGAATTTAAAATATGATAAAGGGAGGTGCCTGGGTGGCTCAATCGGTGAGGTGTCCGACTCTTGATTTCGGCTCAGGTCAAGATCTCAGGGTCATGAGATTGAGCCCCACGTCGGGCTCTGCACTCAGAGGGGAGTCTGCTTGAGCTTCTCTCTTTCTCTCCCTCTGCTCCCCCACTCCCGCACTCACTCTCTGTCTCTGTCTCAAATAATCTTTAAAAAAATTTTTTTATAAAGGTGGCATTTCCAATTATTGTCCCATAGTGTTGGAACAAGTAGCTATGCTTAGAAAACAAAGTTCAATAACTATTTCACATCTTTTACAAAAATGCATTCCAGATGAATTAAAGATATTATCATAAATAATAATAGCCATAGATACTCTACAAGAAAATATCAACGATTATTTTTGTAAGCCTTTGTAAGAATGCTTGGAAATGCTTGCCAGATGTGTACAAAAAGCACTTTTAATATCATTACAAAATATACCAATAACTCTGAAATGCAAATTTGTGAAAATAAAACTTGCAATATTTACTATACTGTAAGAAGAAGCTTTTAACAAGGAAAAGATGAGCAACTCTTTAGAAAGATGAAAAAAGAATATAAATAGGCAATTCATAAGGGAACTTTAAGTGCTCAATAAACTTAGGAGATAATACCTCACAAATATCCATGCAATAAAAACAATTGTGTACTTTTTTCCCCCCCAAAAACTAAAAAGCTAATTCTCAGAGTTGCAAGGGTGTAGAGAAATGGATAACCTAGGGCCACATTCCAACTTGTGGGGGTCCTACATACATTTGCCTTTGGGGATCCCGTCTCTATAAAAAAAATATTTACATGTGCATTTTTTGGCTGCACTGGAATGAAAAAAATACAATCCAGGCTGGATTCATTGTACACTATTCATTATTATTATATTCACTTTTTTTCTACTGATTTGAAAAGAAACTGAAATATTTTCATGACCCTTAAAAGTACGTTGGGCCCTAGGCAATGTGCCTACTGTGCCTGGGGGCTAAGTCAGCCTTGAGAAAACCTCAAGCAGTTGGCAGGTGTGTAAACCTTTCTTTCATCAGTAATTTGGCAGCATCAGATTCAAAATGTGCATCACTTTACGCCCAACAATTACATTTTCAGGAACTTGCCCCATAAAAATACCCACACAAACAGGCAATGAGACATATATATAAGGAAGCTCATTACATTATTCACTGTAACTGCAAAAAAAATTTCAGACAGACTAAATATCAATCATTAAGGAATGGTTAAATTGATTTTGGCAAAGAAAAGTTCAATATATATATATATATGGATTCATGTCAGAAGTTCACTCCAACACACTTTTGAATAAAAAAAGCTAGAGAATAATAAGTAGTAGGATCACACTCATGTTTTATACACCGCACACGTACGCATTTTCAGAGGCTGAAGAGATATAGGACAAACCGTTAACCTGGGTATCCCTAACACTGCAGAGCTGGGGAGCATACTCTGAGTTGTATGAATTTTTATAATGAGCATTTATTATTTATATTAAAGAAGATATTTACATTTTGAAGAGAAAAAGAAATATTTCTCTTTTTGGTAAAATCTGGAGCTCCTCTGAGGGGAACTGTCCTCACACGCAGCTGAGGAGCCCCGCAAGATGCCAGAGTACCCAAGTTGGTCTCCTCCCCGGCGGTCCTGCAAATCAGAAGGGGGAGAGGCAGCGAGAGAGTTTCAAAGCACTCGGTACGAAAAACAAACAAAAATCAACGGCAGCTGAGCTTTCCTCCCGAAACTACAGTGGGCTGGTGCCTTAACCATACAGTGAGGCATTCACCTGGTCTCAGAATGCTTCCCTGGCTCGGGAGCCAGCGGTCATCCGAAGGGCAGGCAGGCCCTGGGGCTAAGAGGGAAGTTCTGCGTGACAGTTGGGGGAGTGGCAGTTGGAGCTCGGGGTGGGCTAGGCATCCTGCTGCTTCCAGAAGACAGGGCGTCATCACCTTCTCCCAAGCAGGAGGAAGACCCCCACAATTATTTCAAATAAGGAAGATTTGTTTATGACAGAGCAGGCGCTGGTTTTTCTGGGGGATGATAACGCGCCCCCCCCCCCCCCCCCCATGATATAGGGAGATGCCTTCCCGGGCCGGCAGGCCAGTGAGGAGCCGGGGAAGCCGGATTCGGGCTGTTGGTGAGAGAAGTCAGATGACGAGGTAGGAGGGCAGCAGGGAGAGGCATGGGAGCAGACACTTGTCCTGAACGGAGAGTGTTGCTGAGAACAGGCTGACTGACCTATTAACCCACTCACTACACTGCTCATCAGTGCGTGCCTACTGTGTGCGGGGCATGGAAGAAACCCAAAGAGGAAGAAAGCAAGCTTCCTGTTCTCAGCACGCTCACTGTCCCGTGGAGGCGACGTGGGTGCCAAGGTACACCGTGAGGTCGAGGAGGGAAGAGTCAGAGCGAGGAAGGAGTCGAGTGAGAGCAGAGTCGGAGAATGGAGTTGTGTCTTGAGCTGATTCTGGAGGGGACAGGGTGGGGTTTGAAGGGCTGGGAGGGAGCACATTCCAGGCAAAGGGAACACCCTGAGCACAGGGCACGGGGCTGGGAGCCGTGGGACACCCGCACAACAGAGTAATCGCGTCAGGTTCTAACACGGAAGGTATGTCCACAGAGGGAGATGGACATGATGAAGCCCCTCCTGAGGATGAAAAAGGGGACGGTCGGCAAGCTCATCTGCCTGGGCTCCCCTCTCCTGCACCTGCCCGCTCTTTCATGGGTCTCACTCACCCTCTGTCCCGACCACA